GGGCATCTACTGGGAGGTGGGTTAAGAGTGGTGGAATGCCACATGAGGGCTATGTCGACCCCGTCACGAACGATGGACTTGGATTCCACTCAGACATGCCCGTTAGCGAGCTCTCCGAGCGCGACACTCGAGCCATCGAGGCAAGTGACGATAGCTCAACCCCTTCGGTTGCAAAAACCGTAGATGGAGTGACGATCACAAAGACGAGCCGACCCTCGACCGGACCCCCGCTATGCATGGAGGCTCGAGGAAAGTTGAACTTGCAAGGAGACCGAATGCATGGTCACAGAACGATGGCTTGGATCCTAGGGAGGGGGTACGAACAAAAACTAAGAATAACATTTCTAAAACAAAAAAACGCTTTCTCCTACCAGTTTCGCTATCGTCTTCTCAATTTTTAGTGAAACCCAACCTCGGCAACGGCAAAGGGTCGGGTCTCACTCGAGGGCTAATAAGGGTATATATATACCCTTTCCAAAACAATCGCCGTGTCCAACCCCTTTCTCATGTTAGAAACCTAGAGGCAAGGTTGGCGGAAACAAATGACTGAGTAAGGCTGATCGAACTGCAAGAAACCTACGCCCTAGCGGCTACGGCACTCTTGCTTACCAGCATGATCAGAGTTTCTCGCCTGCACCTCGAGCTCTACAATCTTAACAACAGGAAGGGTCAGAGCACTTTACCCATTTTTAACATAAAAAGGGGAGAAAGAACAAATTTGTTCAAACCAAAACAAAAGAACAGACTTGTTCAAATGAAACAAAAGGGATGGAACTTGTCCGCTTATTACAAAACCAACCACCCACCTAGATCTCCGCGCCTACCACGACCTATCACCACGTCTCATCATGGGGGCATACGCACGCAATCTATGGTTGTCCCCTCGGAAAACGCATTGTACGTTTCACCTCTCCGAACGGGCCACGACCCATCATAGGTAAGAGGGATACGGAGCTAAAAACGCTCCTATGGCCCGTCTAGTCCTAGGAGTTCGAAGGTTGGCCCACCATGGGGTTCGACAACTGCTCCGGGCACCTTTAAAGTGAGGGGTGAAAAGGGATGGGCCCGCTAGCGGCCAGTACCTAGGTGCACGAGCGCCGCGGGCATCCTAGCCCACGTTTGAGTCTCGGCCGGATACGATCCATGGTTTTTCCTCAAAGAAAGGCAGAGAGCCCTTGGGATCGGTCGAACGGACCCGAGAACTATATGGATTGACCGCTCAGAATCTGGAGTCAGTCACCAGTTGACCCAAGCCAGACCCCCACGAGCGGGATGCCAGGGGCCCACTCGGACTAGCCTATTAACAGCTCACCGAGCACCATGATTCGTCCATAGAGGAAAATCATGGCACGGCTTAGCCCCTCCATTTTTATCGAAAAACGCTTGAGGGAAGATGATCACAAAGATGAGCCGACCCTTGACCAGACCCCTGCTACGGGCGGGGGCTCAAGGAAAGTTGGACTCGCAAGGAGACTGAACACGCGGTCGCAGAACGATAGACCCCCATAGGGGTCAGAATCAGGAAAGACCTTTTTCGACCCACCAAATCTCATGGCTATACCCCCAAGGGGTCCGATCATGATGAAAGGGAATCGCCGTCCCTAGGACACGCCATGGGCGACAAAAAAGGCCAAGGCCCTTAGAGTCCTCCCATTCGAAAAAGCCTCCGAAGGAGTATTCTACTCCTCCGCAGGTTCGGGGGCTACTTTCGGGGACCAATACTAGGGTACCCGAAGAGGAGGAGCTAATGGTCATCAACATTGATTCATCCGAGCAGTCAAGAGCGCGACTATAGGTCTAACCGACCCCCAGGTGCGCGGGCTCCGCCTCGCCCGACCTCTAGGTCGGGGCCCCCCTTGCTCGACCCCTAGGTGCGCGGGCTCTACCTCGCCCAACCTCTAGGGGCGGGCCCCGCCTTACCCAACCTTTGGGTCGAGGGCTCCACCTCGTCCGGCCTCTGGGTCGGGGGCTCCGTCTCGCCCGACCCCTCAAGCGCGGCTCCTAACGGAAGCCAATACCGCCGCCAATCACTATGGGCCAGAAAGTACAACCCAAGGTCAAACTTCTGGCATCGTGCAGGGAGCGGGTACATCTCAACATGACCATGCCCGCGACATGTCACTCTAGGGAACTCACATCACCAACAGTGACGGACGCGTGGTCACTATGTTGCCTACTCCCTGTACGGCCGCTGACCAGCACGCTGGTTCGCCGCGTCGCCCGCCGGGACAGAATGGGACATCACGACCCGCTGACAACGCCGGGGCAAGGCATCTGCGGCGAACAGGCGCCCGGCGTGGAGCCATACCTGTCACCATCTGCAGTGTCGGTGGGACCCACATAAAGGAGGAGAAAGGCCCGGCGGTCCTGAAAGCATTCCTCTCCTTGGCTCTTCTCTCTCTTTCTCTCTGTGTAACCCGCTCTTCCCCTTCGTCTATAAAAGAGGAAGCGGGACGCCCTAGGAGTGAGGACGGTGGTTTACCACTCTACACGGCTGTAGCCATCAAAACACACGCCTTAACACGCCTTAGGGCCACACGCACATCAGAGACTTGGGACATATCCTTCTCTTGCTCGTTTGTAACCCATACTATAAACTTTCAGTGCTAGTAACATGAGCAGCAGCGACGAACTAGACGTAGGGACTTTCTGCCCGAACCAGTATAAACCTCGTGTCCTCTAAGCACATCATCCGAGCCAGATACGCAATACTAGAAATTTACTAGTCGGTAACTCAAAACATCGACAGAAACCTAGTTAGTACAATACACTAAGACAAACACAAGTCTAGCATAAGTTTCAAACAATGTCTGAAGCACATAACAAGATAAGCAACAAAAATAATGCTCATGAAGGGATGACAAGAGACAACTAGATTTTCCCCATGGTAAGCCACATTTTCTTTGTAATTAACACCGCAGAACAAAGTAAGCCATTTCTTGTGTTCATCAATCACCAAAATTCTTACTATGGGTGTCGATGCGTTCACATCCTGTATAATTATAGCCTAAGTTCTCTTCCATAAAATAGATGAAATCATGATTTTTCTCTGCAATCAAGAAATGTTTCTTTTGCAATTCGTACGATTTTTTTGGCAAATTTTGTCGTAGGACACCGTTCAAATGTGAAATTGGCCCAAACACACCGTCAAGGCGAAATATGCTAATACCTTAATAAAACAGTGTATATTTGATGTAACGCACCTCATCGATTATTTTATTTATTTCTCATATTTCAAGTGAGAAAAAGTGTGGAAAGACATTTCTACCCATCTCTTCAACCTCCGGCTCCTATTTTTCTAGTAACACACCGCGCTGCTGCCAATTTATCACTGTTCTCCTCTGACCACCTGCCATGCCTAGGTCCGCCTCCTCGTTCGGTGTCAGCACGCCGGCGCGTGGTGATTAACTGCCCGCGTGTGCTAGCCTGAAGAGGGGTAATATATGAAAAAAAAAAGTTGGTACGGAGTAAAAAAAAAACATCCAGCGGATTACCCTTGTCGGTTCATATGGATGGAGTTCTGCCTGGCAAATTCATGCCAAACCTACCTCTTAGACATCAACAAACCAAATCCAAATGTTGATATATCACCAATCTATATCTATATACCTAAACTAAAGAGGCAAAATTTTCAGCGATTTTTTTGTCCATCGTCCCCTAACTAAGTCCGTGAATGTGGAATTTGTTTATATACATGTTTACAACTCTTTTGATTTATATGACAACCGCTTGGCACAGGTTCTTAAAATAACTTTGATAGCTAGGAATCCTTTTCCAAATATATTCTCCGATCCTGAATAAGTTGAATAGGATCTAATCCTAATCCAGATAGAAAAGGAAAAAAAAGTAGAAATTAGGCAAACTTATCTTATTATTTTTGGTCTTTTTATTTTTGTTTTTGTATCTTTTTCTTTCTTTGTTTTTTGCACGTGAATGTTCCAATCTCTGTTAGGAGCAAGAGAGAGTTGTCCGTCACGCACACGGATAACGTACGTGAGTCCTCATCCATCTTGCACAGGGGTACCATCCATTGTCTATATATGCTATTTCTTCTCCAATATTTTTTTTCTATTTGTATGTCTTCTTTTTGCTAATTTCGTTGTTTTTTTCTGCTGTTCCAAACATGTTCAACTAAATATATAAAAAAAACTGATACACAAGAAGAGGCAGGTTTGTTGTACGCTAAGAAAGACGACGAACATTGAGCCGCCGTCAATGAAGCTGCTAGCGCGCGCAATAGAGACCTACCTGTACATGACTACTCTGGTGAAGGTGAACGACTAAATAATGTGTTTGTAGGTGCATCAAGGGTATACATATTGTCATCGATGGATGCAAAGATAGAAGAACTGTGAGAAAGATGTTAACATCTTAATATAAGAGTGAAAATAACTATCTGTTGCAACGCACGGGCATTGTAATAAGAAAAAAAGAAGTTGATAGGGAGAGGGAGCAACATCCAGCGGATTACCATCCTCGGTTAGATGGGATTCGGCTAGGCAAATTCATGCCAAACCTACCCTCTCTTAGGCACCAATTGTATGGTCAGTGGTCACCCCCAAACGAGGCATGGCATCTCTCTAGCAAAGGCAACGCTAGTAGTATGCCGGCACACGGTATTGAGAATATTTGTGTGGACCCACGCTCCCCCTATCAACTCCAGCCTCCCGAGACCTGGGATTACAGGCCCGCGGCACCGGACCCGGCAACAAGGGCCCTAACATGTTCTTGCTTATGGACGCTAAGCCCATTGAGATTTCCCCATGTGGGACTAAAACTGCTGTTCCAACATGCTTACAAACTAATCCGGCTGCGTCAAAAGGGTTCAAAAGGCCTGGTATATGGGCAAGCCGAAAGGTCAGCCCGTTGGCAACAGGCGTGCGTACAGGTCAAGTGCTCAACCGCGGAACCCCTACTTTGTTGTTTCCTTTACACAGAAACTATCTAGGAGTTTCTGAATTTATAAAATCGTGAATAGCACACAGGGGACAAAAGGCCTATTAGCTCAGTTGGTTAGAGCGTCGTGCTAATAACGCGAAGGTCGCAGGTTCGAGACCTGCATAGGCCATTTTTAGTTGTTTTTTTGTTTTTTTTTTTGGTCTGGGCCAATTGTGGTTTTCTGCTTTTTTTGGTCCGGCGCCGGCCCCCTTCCCCACGTTGCGCGCCGCGGCAGCCGCCACCATCTGGGCGTCCTCCCTCGTGGCCACCTTGTCGGCGGGCATCGGCGCCCCGGCGGCGCCACGCACCACGTCCCTGAGCGTCACCTGCTTGTCGCCGCCGCCGCCCTCCGCCGCTCGCTTCGCGTTCGTCTCCCGGGCCTGCTGCGCGCGGGCCGCCACGCCGCCGCGCAGCCCCGTGGCGCGCATCTCCGCGGCCTGCGCCGCCGCCGCGTCCTCGAGGTCCACCGGCTTGTCGCCCGCCGGCGTCTGCGCCGCCGCGTCGATGGCCTCGGCGATGGTGACCGCGTCCGTGGCCCCCGGCACCGGCACGGCGAACTGTGCCATCACCGGCTTGCAGGAGCGCGCGCGTACGTTTCGAAGAAGATCGTCCAGACATCAGTACTGTACTATAAGATGGTGCGTGCGTGTAACTTATTGGAACGTACGTACCTGGCCCCCGCGCTGGCGGTGACCATGCGTCTGCCGGCGGGAAGAGTTGTCTCCTCGACATGCAGGTCGTTGCACCGCTGCTGGCCTTGTCCAATGATCTTGTCCCGCTCGTGGCTCGCCTCTCGCTTGGCGGCAGTCGGTGGGTAGACGTCGCCGGTGCGGACGGGCTGCGCCTGGTTCATGCTGCCGACCTGCGTGCGGACTCGCAAGCTATAGCTGGATAGATACCTGGGCGAAACAGCAAAGAAATTGAAGGATCGCTACTCTGTTTTGCTAGCTCTGGCCTCCGAGATGCGTGGCTGCGCAGGTCGGCACACGCCCAAAAGGTGTAAATGTACTCTTTTGGCGCCATACGTGATACGTGGTGTTGGCACAAGCATGGTGCCTGCTGCATGTTCACGTCTTACGGTGACACGTCTAGACGCGATGCGTTCGTGTGGGTTAATCTGAATGACAGAGAGCGGCAAAGGTTTGGCACCCGGCTTTGACACCTGCAAGCCGCAGAGCGGACGCTGGCTTCAAGTTTTTTTTTCCTCCCGACAACACGCTGACTTCAAGTTGGTACACGCGGTGAGATGTTTAAACGGCAAAAGGACTTCATTTTTTTTTCTGTTTCAAAAAAAAAGGACTTGATGGTTTGCTACTGCCTAACGTCTCAATGCAGCCAAAGAGTAATGGAGAGTAAAACATCTCATCAAATGTTCAGAAATTGTGCGTCCGAGAGTATCTCTGATGTCTTAAAAATTTATCCATCTGACTCTCCTTGTCACCCCACAGCCAGCATATACAGATGGAAGAGTGGAAACCGAAATCTCAGCTCTGCTTCTGCTTTGGTTTGAAGGGAAGAACATGAAGAGCAATTGTAATGCATCAATGTCTCCATGTACAATTTGTGAGAATAAGCACATCGATGTGTGCGTCTTTTGCACGGTCCCGAAGGAAAAGAAAATATTAGGAAGATACACTCGAGTGTTCATCTTTTTGTCGACGGTTGACCTCTTGTTTTCCTAACCCCTGATTTCATTACCCACCATAATATAGATAATCTAAGTAACTTTTCAGTTTTGCATTTAACTAACTACTTATATTATTATTGTTGACGCGAAGACCAGTCACCACATAAAAAGGGTTAGCACGCCAGGATAGCCAGTTCCACGACCTAGGTCTTCCTTGTACGTTCTACATAATTTAGATCATCTTGGTGAGAGGAACACATTGATAAAGTCCATTCTGCAATTTAAAAACCAGCTTATGCGTGTTTACGGCCATGGTTTGTTCAGTGGCGGCCAAAACAAGCGAAAAATCGCGCCAAACGGCCCGTGGCGTGAGCGATTATTTTCACCGCACATGAATCCACACCGCGAAAATGAACTGGAAGCCACGTTTCCCATGCGGTGGGATGGCCGCGGTACACATACCGCACCGCGCGGTCCGGAAACCTGCTAGGCCGGTTTATTTTTGTTGGATGGAGTTTCCCAATGGTGAGAGTAAGCATCGGCAGAGCAGCAATGAAGAGAACCCAAGGGGTGTAAAGACCCATTTGTGTATCAGTCATGCTTATCAACCATGATACAGTGTTTTTCTCTCATAACAAAACAGCATCAGCCGGTTTATAAGCCACAGAAACGATCAAGCGAACAGGGTAATAGAATCCACTATGTCCTGCTGGCTTAGACAGCCACCAACTGCATGCATACACCTGTTCTCTGATTTAACGGCACCACATGTGCAACTGTGTTGCAGATACTCTGTTAAACTCATAACACGACTGAATTAATCATGGATCTAAAGCATATTCAATTCCTACACCGTAATGGTTATTTGTATTTTCAAATATATATACCCGAGCATGCATATCTGTAAGTGGAATTCTCTCCACTCTTCCATTCATTGATCAAGAGTTTATAAAGGAGTTACATGACTCTTCCACTGCTAAGACTTTTCATTCTAGACTCTTCCACTACTAAGACTCTTCATTGTAGACTCCACAAATTCTAGGCTATTCATATTCTAATACCCTCCCGTAGTCTCAACTGGGAGACGATCGAACATTGAGACTCGATCAAAAGTTGAGGAAGACAACAGTTGGTAATCCCTTAGTAAATATGTCGGCATACTGAAGGGATGTAGGAACATGTAGAACCCGCACAACGCCAAGGGCCACACGCTTCTGGACAAAATGGATATCGATTTCCACGTGTTTGGTCCTTTGGTGATGAACTGGTGGGTTTGTTGACAAATACATGGCACTGATGTTGTCACAATAAACAAGAGTAGCACGTGGTAAAGAATGATGAAGCTCGCCCAAGAGTTGGCGAATCCAAAAGCCTCAGCCACGACATTGGCAACACCCCTGTATTTGGCCGCGGCACTGGACCGCGAGACAGTGTTTTGGCACTTGGACGACTATGATATAAGATTATCGCCAAGAAACACACAATACCCAGAAGTAGAGCGGTGGGTATCCGGGCAGCCAGCCCAATCAACATTTGAGTAGATGATCAAATCATGTGACCGGCTACGAGAGAGAGAGAGTAAGACCGTACTCCATAGTGCCTTTGATATATCGCAGAATGCGTTTGATGAGAGCAAAATGGGACTGTTGGGGGTCATGCATATACAAGCAAATTTGTTGGACGACGTGAGCAATGTCCGGCCGTGTGAGCGTCAAGTATTGTAACGCCCCAGCAAGACTGCGATATAGAGTAGGATCGGCAACCGGTGGTCCATCTCGGGTGGACAACTTGGAATGAACCTCAATTGGAGTTTGGCAAGGATTGCATGATGACATATTTGTCTTGTCTAAAATTTCAACAGCATATTTAGCTTGAGAGAGGAACAGACCTAAGGATGACCACTTGGCAGAAACACCCAAGTAATGAAGATTACCAAGATCAATCATGGCAAATTCTTGCTGTAGGGAGACAATAATATGTTGAAGAAGATGGTGCGATGAAGCCTTCAATATGATGTCATCCACATATAACAGAAGATATGCCACATCCATCCCATGAGTGTAGATGAAAAGCGAGTTGTCACATCTAGAAGCCCGAAAACCAATTGAGGTGATGAACGCCTGAAAACGGCTGTACCAAGCTCGTGGGGCTTGTTTGAGGCCATAGAGAGCTTTGTTGAGCTTACACACATAATTGAGACGAGCCGGATCAACAAACATAGGAGGTTGTTGGCAATAAATAGCTTCATTAAGAGTGCCATACAGAAATGTGTTTTTGACATCCAATTGATGAATAGGCCAATCACCGGAGATGGCAAGCGACAATATTGTGCGAATGGTAAGTGGAATTCTCCCCACTCTTTCATTCATTGATCAAGAGTTTATAAAGGAGTTACATGACTCTTACACTACTAAGACTTTTCATTCTAAACTCTTCCACTACTAAGACTCTTTATTCTAGACTCCACAAATTATGGAATATTCATATAATATCAAACCATGCCACATCTCCCAATCTCCAACTCACGTACCACCTCCAATTAAACATTAAACGAGTTCATGCTTCAAACCTGCATTCATGGATGTTTTTACAATAGGTCTTACAGTACTCCATAGCTATAGATTAAGTTCTTATATGACTACATCACGAAGCCACCAGTGTTTAAAACATATGGAACCCTGTAGGGTCTAATTCCAACACTATTTTGCGGCTGCCCATTCGCAACTCTCCAAAATTAGACAACCCATACACCCATTGCCCCAATGGACCATTGTTTTCGGTCTTTCACGAGCCGAATCTATCAAGCCGCTCCCTCCATGGTTACTTCCATAGCAGCCATGTCTACCTGTGACCGGAATCCAATAAGCACAGTAATTAGATTTTCAACCAAACACCAATGCAATTTTAATTCATGTGCCACATATTTACTTCATGCTGTCAATTGGAAACCAAACAATCTGTAACCAGCTTTGTCTCATGATGTGAATATGATGGAAGCATACTGCACCTTTAGTTGATGAAACTAGTCATAGCGACTCCCAACTCACGTCTTTACAAGTCTCATAGGAAAAAAATATTCTACAAAGGCCAGGTTTCACACATGGCAACAATGCACATGCAACGGTGATTCATGACTCGGCATGTGAACTTGAAATGAGTTATGTGGCCAGCTATCATTTGATACCTATTCAGCTGCTCCTGTTCTGCAGTCCACACATCTCAGCAAACAACAATGCTGCAACGCGTCCAACATGCCCCTGGTCTTGCACAAGGTGTTTGTTTAGCAACTTTTTTAATATACGTACCTAGTGCAGAGAGCTCCGGCTCTATGCGGGGTCTGGGGAAGGACGTTAAGCCTTACCCTCGCCTGTGTAATGCGAAGAGATTGCGACTCGAACGTAGGGCCTTCCGGTCACAGGCGGTAAGACTCTACCAAAACCTTAGCTAAAATGAAATTATTGAAAACAAAGATATTTCATTAGTGTCAACTCAGATAACCTTAGGTATGTCTGGCAGTAGACGCTCCCCATCAAAACACCTGCAGAAATATGCACAAAGGACACCTGTGCGATTCCAGCTGTGAAAAAATAACCAAATATCAATTTCCCAAACTATACACACGTTGCAATGCGCAATTGCTTTCATGAAACGCAAGTATGCTGGACGTATATGCGGCTACTTGTGCAAAGCAGTGTAGCATGTCTTAATGGGTCGACGCTGGTGGACAGGGATCAATACTTACCAGTGCATACCCACGTACCGCCAATGGAACGGCGCCACCGACGCATCACCCCATGGATGATCCCACCCAGGAAACAAGACCCACATCGCAGACAAAATATTGCATTTCAACATTTCTGCAACACACGTGTATACACTGCGTTTGGAAAACCCAGGAATGTTCATGCATGCTGGGTCGAACACCAGGATACTGTTGTCCTTCAGGTTCCAAGAAAAACACACCCATCTCTGATGCAAAATGACCGGGAAGAACAGCTGCATCAATTGATACCAGGGATGAGCATTTGCGGACCACTCAGCAAGTACATTCAGTTATAATTTATCTTACCATGCTACAGTTATATATATATGTCGTATTTAAGGTGCGTTCCCACGAACTGATTCCTAATGCAGGGGATGTCAAACCATCCTGCTATGACTGCAGCCTTCAAGAAAAAAATGTTACTGCCAGATCAGAATCTTAACACAGCTGACATGGAGTATCC